TTCCTATTATGCAAGATTCCTGCACGACACACACACGCATGCACGCACGCACGCATGCACACACACGCACACTCACACATTCACGTACGCACGCACGCACGCACACGTACGCATGCATACACACGCACACGCACACGCACACACGTACGCATGCACACACGTACGCATGCACACACACGCACACACGCACACACACACAGACGCACACACGCACACACGCACGCATACACGCACACACACAGACACGCACACACACACACACACACGTACATACACACCTGGCAGAAGTCGGAGCATTTCTCGGACACCGTGAAGTATCCCTTCTCGTTAGAGCAACGGAACAGCCGGCTGTGTCGCATGTAGTCGGCATCCTGTAACACCACGATACGCGTGTAACATTCCGCACACTAGACATTCTGTAATGCTGCACGCTGATACATCACTATTATTCAAACTAATGAATGGCTACGAAGTAATTGACCCTACAAAATTCTTTACAAGATCGGAATACAACAGCACTCGTGGCCATAGCCTCAAATTGCTCACTCCGCGTGCACGACTAGAGTTAAGGAAACATTTTTTCAGTTTTAGAGTAATAAATCACTGGAATAACCTGTCAGAAGAAGCAGTACAAGCTAAATTAATTAACTCGTTCAAAAGCCATGTGGATGAATATGTAAGAATGGGGGTTTATACAAAACAGTAGTCTTCCTACCCTTCGATCCACTCCAAATCTACAGGTGAGGGGTGGAATCAGGTAAATCACTGTACAGGGCTGCTGCTGAGACTTCGCCACATTCGCAAAATTTCATAAATCCGTTGTGTAATCCCCACAATACATTTTTGTTTTCTGCCTGCCCAAGGGCCTATGCCTTCTGCTTTCCCAATTGCATAATGTTAATCCACACAGAAATTGTGTAATCTACTCCCCGGGAGCGACTATTGAAACACTTAATGCTACTTAATGCTGGACCGACACCGTGATATGCAACCCTAATATGTGATTACGATGGTTTACAAGTAAAATTCCTACTGATCCATCATGCAGACATGTCAATAGCTCACCCTTTCTCTCTCTCGCTCTCTCTCTCTCTCTCTCTCTCTCTCTCTCGTGGTTAAAGGCCACATCCATCGTCAAATAGCATGAATGGAAATACTAGCTATGACGTTGTTTCTGGAACATGCTTTGAGAGATTTCAGATTTGTAAAAATTTCTATTTCACAGTCAATATTAGGAGGATAAATGCATGAAATATCATACACTGGGGGGGGGGGAATTAGGGCGGCAAATAGGTTGAATAAGTTATCTACCATACCTCCATTCACTAATCCTTAACATATATCAAAGCTGTGTTCACTGTTTCCTGTATTCATGCACTGTGGTCTCTGCTTGTTATTAGTGTGAGATACCCCGAGCAGGCATGTCCCCTGAACTTGCTGGACCAGAAGGGACGTCTAACATACGATGGACTGCATCAGTTGACCTCTTTGTCTGGTGAGTGAGCATTCGCTCTAATACACGTATTGCATATGTAGCATACATTCAATGATTAGATAACATATATAGCATGCATTTAATCGATTGTCTGGTGAGTAATCATTAGCCTAAGCATGTATACTAATAGCTTACTATGTGTTAATTCAATTGTTATATACCATAATATAAGATGCATTCATCGATTGTATGTTCACGAAGAATGCTGGCTTCAAACATAAATGTTTCTGTGTTGGCCGCCATCTGCAGGATCGTAAGAAGTCAACGCGACTCGTGAGACCGCCGCCCTCAAGCTGCTCTCAGGAGTCCTCAACATGATTCCAGCGTTCCTGACGGCCGCCGTCACCAAAGGTCTCTCGAGGGGTGGTCAGCTTCACCTAACTTACCTCGCAGTGGTCCTTACTAGGAACTACATGCAATAGGTAACAAACATCTATGTATTGTAGTAGGAGTAGGGAGTATGGTATTAGAGATGAGAGCATCAGCCGTTCTGTTGGTCAACATGCTGTTATAGTATTACGAACTTAGAAAAGTAAGAAATTTCTATTTAGGCATTACTGTGACGAAAGAAAATCGTAAAAGTATTTGAGTTACAATAAGACACCCTAATATAATAGTCAAAGACCGCCGCCATATTCGCTTTCGTACCGGCGCCTGCAGGACTTATAAAAGTAAGAAATCTACTCTGCATTGCGACGAAAGAAATTGTAAAATGTTAGCATAATTAAAGACGACCCTAATAGTCAATGACCGCCGCCATATTCGATTTTGTCTGCAGAACTTATAGAAGTAAGAAATCTACTCTTTACCATTGCCGAAGAAAGAATCGTAAAGTGTTAGCATAATTAAAGACTAACCTAATAGTCGGTGACCGCCGCCGTATTCACTTCGTCTTGCGACTGCAGGACGAATCTCAGATCTTCAAGACGAAGTTTTGTCGGCTGGGACGACGTGATTGCTGTGGACTTCACGCGCAGCGCCGAGTCCGTCGCCAAGCGCGGCGCTGACGTCATGAAGATACTGAGAGATACCGAGATGAAGGTAACCGATGGCCAACGGCACCGTTGCGACGAACTGACCCCAGCCACGCGCTGTGACACGTGCGTGACTGATGGGTCACGGCCGATGCAGCGGACGCGTCGCTGGCGAATGCGCGGACGCGTCGCGCGATGCGCGGACGCGTCGCGGCGCATGCGCGACGCGTCGACGGCGATTGCCGCTGGACGCGTTCGCGGCGATGCGCGGACGCGGTTCGCGGCGATGCGCGTACGCGTCGCGGTGATGCCGCGAGCGTCGCGGCGCGATGCGCGGACGCGTCGCGGCGATGCGCGGACGCGTAGTCGCGGCGATGCGCGGCACGCGTGCGCGGCGATGCGCGACGCGTCGCGGCGATGCGCGGACGCGTCGCCGCGCGATGCGCGCGACGCCGCTCCTGGCGCTATGCCGCGGACGCGTGGGGTCGCGGCGTGATGCTGCGAACGCGTCGCGGCGATGCGCGGACGCGTCGCGCCGCATGCGGAGGGTCGCGCGACGTGCCGCGGACGCGTCGCCGGCGGAATGCGCGCGACGTGTCGCGCGATGGCGGAGCGTCGCGGCGTCATGCGTGGACTTTTCTCTGTTTAAATGTTATGTTGTTGTAGCAGTTGCGACATGTTTTTTTTGCTACAGGAAGTTTTGTGTTGAATGTTGAAATAGCCTTGATGAATAAAATTTAAAAACATTGTTGTTCTTTGGATTCACTCCTGCTTTTATATGTAATTACCATCGTATACCTCCACCTTGAAGTCTGCCCCCCTTCCCACACCACGAAAATCTCCTTTATAAACAAGTGTCCCATTCTGCAGGTGTAACTTAAGTAACAACTGTAAGTAACCTCCACTAACGCAGACGTTGACTGCAACCTCTTTGCCCTTGCAGACAATAACTGTAACTCGTAGTTCACTCACCAGGTGGATCTGTCGGCGCTGTTCATGCCGCGGCAAGCCGGCGCATGACGACGGAGGAAGCCTGACGCACTCATGGACGGAGTGAGAACCGAGGACCTCAGACGCATGGAGGCGTTTGCTCGAAGGAAAAGTTGTTGGGCTTGCCGGGGACAGGTAGGAGCTGGCGGGGGGAGAGAGCAAGCAGAGGCTGCGAGAAGCGAGCGCGTTGCCCCGCTGATTTTCTTTGGAGAAGAAATAAATCATTCTCTCCCACGGGAACACTCGTTGATATAATTAGGTTCTCATATTGCCGGTTATATACGCTGCAAATAATTAGCCATCGCGTGGAGAGGACGACCACGCCGAGCTACACCGGGAATTGCCTCCGATTAATGCAATTACGGTTCCATATTACAGTTACAAACGTGCAAAAGATTAGCATACTTCGTTTGTGTTGAGTGGCTTTAACTGACCCGTGATATTTGCTAGCTAGGAACTACAGTCAAATATGTATGTTAGACCATAATGCTTTGGAGAAACCCAAGACTGCCCTTTTATGGGAGCCACAGTCAAAACCTGCTATTATTAGGGTCAATCGTGCTGAAACCCCCAAGACTGTTCCTTTCTAGGGAGGTGTTTGTTGCTATAGAGGTAGGTTTGCGCTCCTTAACTGTCACTCAAGGGAAACATCAAAAGTCTTCTTATGGGAACCAATTCTACAGAGGTGATTGCTGATGAAGCGAATATATCTCAGGCGTCAGGGACTTATCTCAGCTCTATGACTTATCTCAGGTTATCGCCGGCTGTAGTGGCTTCTGATTCGCCGATGGTCTGCCTCGCCTGCATGGTCACTTCCCAGGCGCGCGAGACTGCTGTACGTTGTTCTGTGTCGCTTACGTTGGTTCACGGGAGCTGGACGAAGAGCGAGCGAGAAGTCAGGGCAGGAGCAGGAGCCCTGAGGATTGACTACGAGTGGGTGAGCTTCTGCAGCGGCCGCCCGACGCATCCAACATGGGCTGGCTTACCTTCACGTGTCAGCGTTACGCGGCGTGAGACAGGCGTCGGAAAATAAATCCGGGGCCGACGGTGTGATTTCGCCCTCGGCGGAGCCCAAAAATAGCCCCCTAGAATTCTCGAAACCCAATTCTTTGGGGCGACCATTTTATTCAGCGTCGCCCTCAATCTCTGCTAACGAAAATTTCACAAAGTTTTCTGTTCTTAGAGCAGCATACAGAATCTAACATGTTCACCTCACTTTCGGCGAGCTTTCCGTTTACAGGATTTAAATTTAGATCCTACAGCTATCGCTAAATAACGCGCAATGCATAGTGGGAAAGGGAAATGAAGGTATCGGCTTTTCGCTTGCATATGTTCAGCCGCTATACGAATCAGCCCGCTGTCTAATAATCAACTGATTTCTAATCGCTTGCTGCAGTATGACTATAGTCTTCGACCGATACGGTTTGCTAAAAAGGTGATTTTTTTCCACACGACGGCGCTCAGTACAGTATGTTGTTTTGACGAATTACGATCGATGTAAAAGACTCACAAAGATCAGTAATTGTGACATTGTACCTTGGGGTACGGTGAATGTTGAGCTAGTTTCGCACGGTCGCAGTGAAAATTACATTACAGGATACAAAAAATTACAAATTTACAAACATATTAATAAATCATGACACAAATTATTATACAATATATTAGCACCGACATGATCTTTTATTAATCGTCTAATATTAATAAAAAATGCTAATAAAATGTTACATGCATTCAGTTTTCAACGTGCAACAAAAAGTACGCCCCTAAAACAAAAAAAATAGTCCCCCAAAAAATTCAAAAATATCCCAAGCTTCTAATAAAGTAGCCCTTGAAATAAAAATAAATTCTGCCCCCTGGCATGAGTATGATTGGGTAACCATGCGGCTGCTGCTCACATTCACGTTCAGGCTACGCGTGCGCGACTCTGAGACTGTCGTTAACCATGGGCTGGCTCACCTTCACGTTCAGGTACGCTCGACCGTGCGCGAGACTGTCGTTACCCATGGGCTGCTCACCTTTCACGTTCAGGTAAGCCAGTGCGCGAGACTGTTCATTAATCATTGGGCTGGCTCACCTATCACGTTCAGGTACGCCGTGCGCGAAGACTGTCGTTAACCATGGGGCTGGCTTCACCTTCACATTCAGGTAAAGCCTGTGGCCGAGACTGTCGTTAACCCATGGGTTGGCTCACATTCACGTTCAGGTAAGCGTGCGCGATGACTTGTCGCTTACACCATGGGTTGGCCTCACCTTTCACATTCAGGTAAGCGGTGCGCGCGAGCTGTCGTTAACAATGGGCTGGCTCACCTTCACATTTCAGGTAAAGCGTGCGCGCCGAGACTTCGTTTAACCATCAGCTGGCTCACCTTTCACGTTCTAGGAGCTGTGCAGAGACTGTCGGTTCAACCATGGGCTGGCTTCACCTTCACGTTCAGGTAAGCGTGCGCTGACGACTGTCGTTACCATGAGGCTGCGCTCACTTCACATTCAGCGTAGGGTGCGCGGACTGTCGTTAACAGGGCTGGCTCGCCTTCACATTCAGGTAAGCAGTTGCGCGAGGACTGTCGTTAACCATGGGGCTGGTCACCTTCACATTCAGGTAGTCGCTTTGGCGAGACTGTCGTTAACCAGTGGGGCTGGCTCGCCTTCACATTCAGTGTAACTCAGCTGTGCGCGAGACTGTCGTTAACCATGGGCTGGCTACCTTCACATTCAGGTAAGCGTTACGCCGAGACTGTCGTTAACCATGGGCTGGCCTCATCCTTCACATTTCAGGTAAGCGTACGCGAAGACTGTCGGCTTAATCATGGGTTGGCTCACCTTCACATTCAGGTGGAAGCCGTAGCGAGACTGTCTTAACCATCAGCTGGCTCACCTTCACGTTCAGGTAAGCATGCACGAGGGACTGTCGTTAACCATGGGTGGCTCATCTTCACTTTCAGGTAAGCGTGCGCGAGACTGTCGTTAATCAATGGGCTGCGCTCACCTTCACGTTCAGGTAAGCGCTGCACGAGACTGTCGTTAACCATTGCGGCTAGGCTCACCTTTCACGTTCAGGTTTAAGCATGCGCGAGACTGGTCGTTTAACTGGGCTGGCTCACCTTCACATTCAGCGTAAGCATGCGCGAGACTGTCGTTGTTAATCATGGGCTGCCTCATCTTTCACCGTTTTCAGGTAGGTGTGCACGAAGACTGTCGTTACCATGGGCTGGCCTCACTTTCACACTTCAGGTAAGCATGACGCCGAGACTTGTTAACCATGGGCTGGCTCATCTTCACGCTTCAGGTAAGCGTGCGCCGAGACTTGTCTTTTTTTCCTCGTTATCATGGGCTGGACTCACCTTCACTGTCAGGTAAGCGTGCGCGCAGACTGTCGTTAACCATTAGGGCTGGGCTCATCTTCACATTCAGGTAGGTGCGCGATTGGACTGTCGCTTAACCATGGGTGGCTCATCTTCACATTAGGTAAGGCCTTTAGTGCGCGAGACTCAGTTAAACCATGGCTGGCCTCACCTTCACGTTCAGCGTTACCGCCGTGCATGCAGACTGTCGTTTAACCATGGGCTGGCTCACCTTCACATTCAGGTAAAGCGTGCGCGCAGACTGTCGTTCACCATATGCTGGCTCACTTCACGTTCGGGTAAGCCTCTTGTGCGCGAGACTGTCGTTAACCATTGGCTGGCCTCACTTCACATTCAGGTAAGCGTGCGCGAAGACTGTCGTTAACCTATGCGGCTTGGCTCACCTTCACATTCAGTAAAGGCGTGCGCGCAGACTATGTATATCAACTACTTCACGTTCAGTGTAAGCGTCCACTCGGTTAACCATGGGCTGCCTCACCTTCACGTTCGATATATATCGTGCATCGAGGACTTGTCGTTAACTGCACTCTTGTCGGTGCATATCACACATTTATCCACCACATTTTTGTTATTGCATATTGCCGGTGTTATCACGCTAGTCAAGCGGTTTCGGTGATGTGACGGCTTAGCGCAGTTAGGCCCTGTCGAAGGATAATCTCCTATTGCCTTGACCCAAGCGCAAGAGGCTAAAGGTTTTATAAAAGGAATGAAATTCTTATCTCCAAGTCTGTCTTTCGCTTATAGCTTGAAAAGAAGCTTCGAGTCTCTCTTTGGTGAGAACATTAACGGTTGGTGCGCATGCATCAGCAGCAGAAAACCTTCAAGTTTCTTCCCACTTCAACGAGGGGTTCTGGATTCATCAAAGGTAAGCGTTCGAACGCAAAGCTGAAAAATATTCCCTGGCATCTGCTCACTTGTTCCTCCCAAACGCTTCCCCTGACCATACCGCCTTCCAGCTTCTTCATCCACTCCCTCACTATAGTTTCCCACCCCTCCTCCATCCAACGCTCACTAATTCCGTTGTGATGAGTGTCTCCACCCAATCAAACCTTTAAAGATGCCACCTATTCAGCGTTCCAATCTTACCAATTCTGCCAGCAAAACTAACGCTTAGTTCCTCCATCTTTTACCTTGGTACCCAACTCGTCCCATTCACAACGCGGAAAATATTGTTGTAATCCGTCGAAAATTAATACACAACAAGTAAAAACAGAAGTTTTGCAAGACGTTGTGTTCAATACGTGCGCAACGTTTAGTGCTCCGAAAAGATCTCACGACGACATGGCGTCATTCGTATGACACTCGGATCACACAGATCCCGGACACACACTCTTCGTTCCATCGTCACTGTCTGTTGTTGACTCCTGTTGCTTGTTGTCTCAGGCAAGACGGAAGGAAGTTGGTGGCGGCGGGAGAGGAGAATTCCTCCGGAAGCTTCTACCACCTTGCGTCCCTGCGAACGGATGCCGCTGTGCATGCGCTGCATCCAGAGTCAACTCCCACGCCTTCATGCCCTCAACTCAGAGTTCATGGTAGAGCCGATTACAGTTAACGCGAATGGTCCAGTGCGTTGGGAGGGAAGGCGTAGAGATGATGAGGTACGCGATGAGAAATGACGTGGGTAACTGATGATTTACACGTAATTAGAGGAGAATAAGATGGGATAAGAATGCAGTTGCGT